GATTGAAGAGAGCAGAGCCTTTAAGTTCTTGGCTGGCCTGGACCCAGTGTATGAGGGCATAAGGTCACAAATTCTTGGAAGAGATGAAATGCCCGATTTACATCATGTTTATTATCTGGTAAGGAATGAAGAGGTCAGGAGAAAGGAGATGCAAGTTGACACTCAAATGCAACCAGCTGAACAATCTGTAGAACATTCAGCCATGATTTCTACAAATCAAAAGGGGAACAGATATCCAGACAAAAGGCATCTTAAGTGCACTAATTGTGGAGGTGAAAGACATGTAAAAGAAAAGTGTTGGGTCCTGTATCCTCACCTGAAGCCAGCTGCATTGAGAAAAGACAAGAAGCAACAGAAGGGTCAAGTGGCAAGTGGGAACCTTGTCACTAGTAACAATGGTGATAGCTCACAGAGTATACCAACAGTGGCTTCTTCTTCCAATGGGCAGGTTGCTAATTCCTCCGGAGCCGGTACCTTGGGCTTCACTACTGGTGAGGTAGAGGTCCTTAGCCGGGCTTTAGCCCGTCTAAGGAGTAACTCTTTTGCTTCCACCTCTCTTGCCAGATAAGGTATAGTCTCTGCCTTTAGTGCAACTAGTCCTATTGATTCTACTTCTTAGGTTATTGATTCCGATGCAACTGACCACATGACACATATGTCCTCCTTATTCTCTTCATATCACTTGTTGTCTGGTCAGGATAAGATGAGAGTTGTTGACGGGTCTTTCTCCACCATCTCTGGCAAAGGGGTGGTTGACCTAAGCAAGGACCTCTCTCTTAAATCAATTCTGCATGTTGCTTGCCTTACCTCAAATCTTTTGTCTGTCTCAAAACTTACCAAAAATTTGAACTGTAGCATAACCTTTTTTCCTTCTCATTGTGTCTTTTAGGACAGATTGACGAGGAGAATGATTGGGAGTGGTCATGAGTATGGAGGCCTCTACTATTTTGATGCAGACATCGGTTCAGCCTTACAAGCATCTGCTGCTAGTGGTCCGGAGAATGTGGAGTCAATAGCTAGGTTGCATCTGCGGCATGCTAGGCTAGGTCATTTACCTTTTTCTTCATTGGAAGTGTTGTTTCCCGAATTGTTTAAAGGCATTCCAAGTCAGAGTTTAGTCTGTGAAGTATGTCAACTATCAAAACAATGTAGAATTGTTTATCCAGTTTCCAGTAATGAAATTCAATCTCCTTTTGATTTGGTTCATTCTGATGTTTGGGGCCTTTCACCTATTGTTTC